AGACCTTGGCCACTAAGGAGCTAAGTCCTCTACAAACAAAGTCAGCTAGGCTCTAGCCCAAAACCCATGTTTCAAGGAACACCCTAGTCATTGTGAGCCACAGGGCAAGGAAATGTTGGAGCCCGGTATCCCTGAGGATGTAACTAGAGACGTAATGCAGCTGCAGCAAACAAGCCTCCTGTGGGCAGCATCCAGTGGGTGCTCAATGGATGGTAACTTAGATTATTCACTAACTGGCACCCTTTCCCCACTCAAGGGCCTTCAGAAAAGGACTGCGCTGTCACGTCGACCATCTGCTCACCTGTGTGATGTCTGGCCCTTATGAGGTCCCTGCGTGCTGGCCTTTCCCTCATGCTGGGCCTTTCCCTCTGGACCCTTACTGCATCCAATGCCAATGGTCCAGCAGGCAGTACAGAGAGCAGAGTAAGAGTCGGAGGACACATCTAATTCAGTCACCTCCTTGCTCGCTCACTTGCCAAAACAGCAATCTCTCTGGGCCTCAAAATAGTAATTTTACCAGCCACTTGGTAGGAGAATTGTGAACTTTCCACAAAGTGATACCTGTCAAAGTGCCCAGCCTGTGGTAGGCACTCAGTACTTATTAAACAGAAAGTCTCAGGTAGAAGCTGCTCAGCTATTGAGAACTAAAGAACATGTTAACTTGTCTCTAGATGCCACAGACACTAGACACCCCCAACCTGGCCTCCAGCCAGCTGACCAGGAGGACTAAGCCACACGGCACTTCCCCTGTAAGATAAGCTAAGGTGCCTAGGACCAATGGAGGCAACTGCCTGGCAGTGGTAGGCGACTCTCATCTAAGGACCCCCGTGTTTATCAGGAATCTCCTATCTTTATTCCCAACTATGCTTTTGCAAGTTAACCTCATAGTGCTAAATATATACTTTAATTCTATAGCATATAACCAAGGAAGTTTGAATGGAAAAAAAAAATACTGTCCCTTAGGAAACGAAGATGACTACTTAGGAAAGACTCAACAAAAAGAAGACTGCTTTAAAATGATCAAATTGGGTGTGAACAAAAATATCAAACGCTCTGGGGCGGAATTATTTAAAATCTACACAGATGTTCCACTTGGAATTCTTTGAAAGTCTTTTAGTCCTCACTCCATTTGAAAAAAACAAATAGAAAATCATAAATGGTGGCTGTGGTTCCAGCTCGAAAGACAATTTAAAACTCCAAGTCCTCAGCCTTGTATCCAAAAACATGGTAAAAGAATCAGATATGTGTGTTCACAAAATATTTAATAGATACAATTAATATAATTAATAGATATAATTCTATGATTCCCCAACTTATCTTATTTTCCATTATAAGATCTCAGGCACATTGCCTAAGACTATAGACCCCACCCCAACCCCAGGCTTCATAGCACAAGATGAATGGTGGACAAGTAACCAAAGATTCATCTGTCACTGTTTCCCAGAACCCCCAGATGGGAGCGTCTCATTGCAGGAAAATAAGCTCAGGGCTCCCACTGATTATTTCATTAGCCATTACAATATAATAATAACAGAAATAAAGTACACAATAAATGTAATTTGTCTGAATCATCCCAAAACCTTCCAACCCCCAGCTGTGGAAAAAATGTCTTCCACAAAACCAGTCCCTGGTGCCAAAAAGGTTGGGGACCGCTAGTCGAAGAGATACAGAAGAAACTTTCAAATGGATCTAATTTAAACATAACCTGTAGTACCTCAAGATACACAATACAGACAAACTAGGTTCTAATGCCTACTTTTATATCATCAAAAACATTGCCCAGGTTTTCTGTAACTCTTTAATTTGTGAAAATGTCCTTCCTTTTAACTTTTGGGGAGTTCTGGGGTGACGCTAGCCAGTGCCACAGGTGCCTCCCAAGAGCAGAGCAGAGAGAAGGTGTCCATATACCACCCCTAATGTCAGAGCTATACAAAGAGCCCTCACCGGTGTCTGTCACCTGGAACAGTGCCTGGCCAAATATATAAGGCACAGAATACATTCTAATCCAGAAAAAATTGGGATTGTCTCATATTTAAGTTCTTATTAAATATCTCATATTAAAAAGAATGCTTTGAATTACTCAGTATGGAAACACAAAAACGTTTTAGCACATTGCCCTGAAACAGTATGACCAATGCTAGCAAGGGGTATTAAATTATTAAAATGAAATAATAAACAAGTTTGGCTGAGAAATTCAGCACATATAAGCCACTGCAAGGCTGCGATGGCAGCATTAAAACAGGCCTTTTAAAAGATCAATATTAACATACTTTAAGAAGCAACAATACACATATTTGCCAGCAAGCAAATGAAGAGATCAATAGTCCTGACCTTAGGCTACAGGTATGTGGAACTTGGTAGAAAATTTCCAGCAGCAGCATCATTAACTGATTTTAAAAAATGCTTTATCTCAAATGTCCCAGGTGAAAACAGAGCAGGGGACTCTCCTATTCAGAGTAGGGGGCTCTAAGTACTCTGGTGATCACCCAAAACCTGATTAAAAAGATGCACATAAAGAGTTTGGAAAGCATATTTTATGAACTGCAAGTGAAACCAAATAGAAATGCGACAGATTTCTTACACAAGGCAGTCTCAATGTCTAACTGTAACTAAATTTGAAACTAAACAAAACTAAGCAGGTCTTCATCCATATACCTAAAAAGCTCACATATCCCAGTTAGCCCAAAATTTAACTGGGAAAATAGAATATGGTCCTATTCACTGTCACCTACTATCATGGCATATGTGGTATTTGCTGAATGATGAAATGAGTGCCCATCTATTATATACTGCACGGGAACATCCAGCATTCAGCTTTGCTATTCAATAGATAGTGAAATACAAAAAATAATTTTCAGTGAGGTCTTTGCTCAGGTGAAAATTTAAAGGGTTGCCCAGCAGGCAAGCCTCTATTAAAAACCCTTCTCTTTTCCCTCATAACCCCAGAGGGTGCACTGGACCTAACACTATTACCCCACAGTGGGAGTTTGAGTATAGATAGCATGCAGGACTTCCAGCTGACAAAACATCCACTGACTATTAAAAGTCAGTGGATGAAAGCTGAACAGTATTACTATCCCCACCTCTGCCTTTTCTTCTCCGAAAATTAACCAAATGTAAGACTGGATTTAATTCAGACTCCTCCTGGAACCCTTTGAGGTGGGCCTGTAAGGAAAGGCCTGAGGACTTAACACAAACAAGGAAAGAAAGAAAAGATGTTCTAGAAGTTCCAGAAAGCACAGAAAGTCAAGAACATCATCTATGCATCCACGGAGGAAGTCAACCAATAATCTCAAAATCTGGTCAACAAAACATCAATTCCCAGTTACTATCTGTCATTACTAAGAATTACAAGTGTCGAAACCTTTGACAAGTTCTAAAAAAACGCTGCATGCCACAGAGTTCTAGGAGCTGCCTGGAGGCTAGCACTTCAGAAGGTACCTTCTAACCTCCTGGTCAAACAGTGCTCCCAAGACAAGTGAGAGGACGTCTGGGTACACTTGGTTATCAGAATGTTCCCATGTTTTACCCTTAATAGAAGCAGGGAGCAGCAGGAGGTAACCCACATCTTTTGCAAACAAAGATCCCTAATTATAACACCTCAGATTAAAAACAGCAAAGACAAGATGGATTGAAAATTTCTAAATTAGGTATGTAGCTAGATTTAATAACAATAAAAATTCCCCTTCAGCAGTGACCCCAGTGACCACTAGTAACTGTCTTTGTCCATTCTTCCTGACTTATGGGGAAAAAATCAAATTCAGAAAAGTTAACTCAAAGTCAATTCAGTTAACTCAAACTCAACATGCAAGGGCTGAAGTTCCTAACCTTAGAGATGTTACAGATGCTAGAATTTTCCCAGTGTTTCAGTATCATTCATAGGACTAGGAAGATTATGCACCACCAGCTCCTTACACTGTCAAAGCAGAGCAGAGGAATAACGTTGTGTTTTCTAAAGCAAGTGACTACTCCAAGAGATCAACAACGTATTTTTTTTAAACTTTAAATGTGCTTTTCTCCATTTAATGAAATTACAAAACCTGGATCCTTTGTTTCTCACTTAAACCAGCATCCCATAGGCTACCATCTTCCAAACTAACAGTTCCTGAGGTGGCAGAGGGTGTGAGGACTTGCAATAAGCAGCTTTCCAAACCAAGTCAGCCCTCCAGAAGTCTTTCCACTAAAACAGAAGCAGTGAAGGCTGTTGGACATAGCTGCACCAAAAACAACAAAATAAATAACGACCCATGTGGGACTGCAACCCTGCCTAAAAACCCAGACAGAAGAGGACCTTTGATTCAGGACAAACACTGCCAAATCCAAAAAGGGCTGGGCAAAACTCTTCTGGGATCTCCTGGCTAACTCCTTCCCCCCTACTAGAAAGAGTTTATAATCTGTTCTTCCAAACTCTTCCTACTCTTCATTCCAGCCCTTCCTCCCTACCCAGCCGGTGCTTCCCATGGCCAGCCATCAGAACCCGATTAGAAACCACAAACGTTGAGGACTAACTTTCCTCCCGGTACCCCAGGTTGTTCAGTCTGGGGATCCAGAGCGATCCTTTCTAAGTTAAAGAGGCAGAATAACAGGCCCTGCCAGGGGTGAGCCCTGGGACTAGGAGCCGTTCTCACCCCAGGAGGATGATACACACAAATGAACAGATGGTGAGGTGCCCTGGGACCAGATGCCACCACCAACCGAGTGCAGAGGGCAGGAGAAGGGATTCTGTAAGGGGAGGGTGGACCCACAGCTGGTGCAGACAGAAAGCTCCCGGCAGGGGCTGGAGTGGGCAAAGAGGACATATCCCAGAGTTGGCAAGTGGGAATAGAAGGGGGACTTTCACGGATCCCTGAACAGAAGTGAAGTTGGAGAAAGGAGAGCAAGTGAAGGAGTGGGTCAGCGCCGTCAACTTTGGTCTCCTCTGTTACTCATCACTGCCCCACGCCCACTTGCACTCACACTCGCACCCAGCGGGGTGTCATGCCCCAGGGGCACATACCCACCTTTGCCACTGGAGCACTCCTGCTGGTCCCCAGCTCGCGAAGACTGCCGGTGGCGCTGCCCACCGCCGCGGGGAGGAAGACTGGGGAGCCTGGGGCGCTACCCACCGCGCCGCCCCCGCCGCCCGCGAGGGCGGGGGCCACACTGGGACTAGGACCCGGACGCGCAGGCGGGCTGCCTCCTGGACTGCCGCCCGCGCGGGGCCGCTGACGGATGCCGTCCAGCAGACGCACCAGAAGGATGTTGGCGGGCAGCTCGTCCACGCCGCAGCCCACCAGGATGCGGCACTCAGGGCAGCGCAGCTCGTGGCGCGAGCAGACTATGCTCTCCAGGCAGCGGCGGCAGAAGGTGTGCTGACAAGGCAGCACCTTGGCCGTGGTGTCCAGGCGCTCCAGGCACACGGAGCACTACAGAAGGTCCAGCAATGACGACTCGTCCATGTCCTCGCCCGCCCCCGCGGCCGTAGCCGCCGCCCGCCGCCGCCGCCGCTCTCCCAGCCCGTCCTCCTCGCCCTCGCTCTGAGCAGCAGCGGCGGCCGCCTTGGACGCGCACAGCCAGGATGCTCCGAGCAGCATGGGGGAGGCGCCGGCGGCGGCCTGGCGCAGCTGCCTAGGTCCCGGTGCCGGCTTGGGGCCCGCCAGCGGCAGCGGGCATTAGGACTGCGCCCCGGCAAACGCTTGGCAGCCGGGCTCAGATGCGACTTTCTTCACCCCGGCTGGCGACCTAAGGCGGGGCCTTGGCGGTGCAAAGTGGCGAACTGACCGGCCTGCGTGGCGGGGACTGGAGTTCCGCGCGCAGCGAGCCAACTCTGGGCCAGCCGAGCCCGCCCAGGCTTTCTGAGCGCAGCGCCTGCGGCTGCCAGCTACACCTGTCCCGCCGAGCGTCTTCCTTGCTCCAGGGGCCGGGGACGCTGACCCCGCACGAAGCTCAAAGGGCTCTAAGCTCCAAGCAGCTGGTCGAGACCCGGAGCCCCGAGGCAGGAAGTACGGGGAGAGGCCGGCCAGGTCCCCAGGGAGGCTGGGGCGCAGCGTGCGCGCTCCCCCGCGCAGCTGGCGAGCCGCACTGCCCCCGCGACACCTCCATGCGCCCCGGGCCGGCTGGCGAGTCGCTGCCCCCGGAGGGTTGAATTGAACCCTTCCTTTTCCCCAGCTGCGAGCACGTGCGCGGCGCAGAGGTCACGGTCACTGCAGGGCGGTGGGAAGGAGGAGCCGCGATCACTGGACCTCCCTTCGCCTGGGCGCTCGCGGGCTATTGGCCTTGTCCCTTAGGGTACCTCCAGGGCTCCGAAGAATTCCTTCTGCCAGGCTCGACCCTGTCTCCTCCCAGCTCCCGAGTCCTTTTTCCGCTCTCTGCAAACCTCAGAGAGGGACATTTCCTGCCAGCGCCGGCTGCGAAGGAAAGTTTGGGCGGCGTTATCCCGACTGCCTCCCTCGCCAGCGCTGACAAGCGGCTTGGCAACACGGCCGACGCCCAGGCATCCTCCCCCGACGACTCCCCAGAGCGCTCCCACTCCAGTTCTCTCTCCAGGCGGTATGCAGAAGTGACAGCCCCGGGGCTGCGGCTGTGGCGTGGGATGCCCCACGAGGCAGGAGGAGAAGGCGCTGTGGTGGTGGGGAGCCCCGGGCTCGGGCCGACTCCTCCCGGCCGCAGCCCGCCCTCTCCAGAGCCGCGGGTCCGAAACCGGCGCCGCCTCCCAGCTACCAGCACTCTCGCGCGGGTGCCTGGATCCGCGCCGCGCCCTGGGCAGGGCAGTGCGTGGGCTCCACGCCTGCTGCGGCGCCGACTCGCGAACCCCGCTTCGGTGTCTCCTCGTGAGGCGCAGAAGAGGGGAGTCCGCGCGCCTTCCCGACGCCCTGGCTCCGGGAGCGTCAGCGCAACGCAAGTACGTGCGGGAGGGCCCGGAGCGGCGGCAAGTTGGGCGCGGGCTAGGGCGGCCGGATTCCCTGCCGCGCGCTGCCCCCTCGTGGCCGCCTCGAGTCCGATCGGGAACGGACGTGGCGGGGCCAGGGCCAGGGCCTGCACCAACTGGACGCTCCTGGCAGGGTCTGGCCTGGGCTGACGTCAGTTAGAATGGGCATCAGGGACCCGCCTGCAGGCTGGGCTGCCCTGTAGTTTGTGAAATTAACTGTGACGTTGAGTGTATTCAGGAAGATGGTAATAGTTGTTGAGGCTTAAATGCCAAGAACATGCCTGTGCATTATTTTATTTAATCCTCTAAACAGCCCTATAGAATAATTATTTTAACCTCATTTTACAAATGAGGAAGTGATGCTCATAGTTGTAAAGACATTAGGGCAGAATTTTAATTTTTGTTTTTCCTTGTATTTATATAGATAGATGTAGATGATATAGATATAGTTGTGGTTGGGGTGGTGTTTTTTGTTTGTTTGTTTTTTGAGACGGAGTCTCACTCTGTCACCCTGGGTAGAGTGCCATGGCATCATAGGTCATGGCAACCTCATACTCCTGGTCTTCAGCAATCCTCTTGCCTCAAACCTCTGGAGTAGCTGGGACTACAGGTGCCCCACCACTACGACCAGACTAGTTTTTCTACTTGTATTAGAGACTGGGTGTTGCTCTTGTTCAGACTGGTCTCAAACTCCTGAGCTCAAGCAATCCACCTGCCTGGCCTCCTAGAGTGTTAGGATTACAGGTGTGAATTATCATGGCCAGCCACCTTGTATTTATATTTAAAACCAAGATTAGTCATTGAATGAACTTTAATTTGTGTATTCCCAGAATCTGCCAAATAAACTTCACATGCCATTAGAATATAAGCTCCCAGGGCAGTGCCTGGCATACAGTAGGTGTTCAATAACTATTTCTTGAATGAGTGAAAGAATTCTCAGTGTCATCGCTTAGTGATTTCAATGGAAATCTTAGTATCTCAATTCCAGGTATCAGCTTGTCAGTCCCTGGAAACTTTGCTCCTGGCAGCAGCAGGTGGCTTTCCCAGCCCTGATTCTCTCAGAAGTGTGGATTGCCTCATGTGTCATTTACAGCAGTGCTGGCAACACCTTCTGGAGCTTCCTGGACTCCCAAGAGGGCTGGAACCTGCCAGTGCACAGCATATCCACACCAGCCACCTTTCCCTCTCTGACCTTTCTCAGAAGCAACAGAAGGGAATTTTTGAGAGGGCCTAGAATGCTTGATCCAAAAGCAGACTGTGTGGACACAAGACTTGAGGGGGGGGGGGCAAGAAAGGGGATTCTCATGCCCAGGGAAAGCTTTCAGAGAGCAAGGGCTGCCTGTGATGACATACACTGGTGCTTTTGGTTCCAAGCAACGGAATCTACAGGCAGATTTTAAAGGGAACAGAATATACAATAACAATAAGAGTCATCTCACAGAACTTGGGCTCAGAGCTGAGCCAATTTAATGCAGATGAGTCCCCAGTGAGTCCTGCTCCCCCCTTCTCTGTATGATGACTTGATCCATCTTCTCTTGCACCACCTGTAAGAGAAGACGCTGTCTCGCCTTCTCCATCCACGTGACAGAAAATGTGTGCTCCATGAACTTTTCCTCCCACAGCATCAGCCACTGACAAGAGACCTCTGTGATGCTGTCATGGGCTGGAAGCTTTAAAACCTATCACCCAACTTTGACCAATGGTCACTCTCTGGACCAAAGTGCACTGGCCTCAGGAGCAGCATGATCCAAAAGCCAATAGCACCCTCCAGAGTCGCACAGGAGAAGAGAGTTTCCAGAGAGGTGTCATACCACCCAGCCAGAACCATTGATGCCCCTGTCAGGCTCTCAGAAACACATCTCTGCCATCAGTGTCCCTTTTATTAGGCACAACCCAAGCCAGACAAGAGCAAGTGCAAAGCCACTGATCCCCACCTTTCCCAGAGCTCTTTTGCTTCCACTTCACCCCCTTAGCCCCTGCCATGCCCACCTGCCTGAGTACCTGCAGGCTGTAAACCCAGATGCCTATAGGGGCTGGCCAGAGCACATAATGTAATGAAGCAGGGCTAGGCTAGGCAATAGAGCAAGGTGGGGACTGCAGCAAGCTCCCTTCAAAAGGGAGTGGCTGGGCTCAGTTCCAGCTAGTCATGCATTGCCCTGAGGAAATGATGACCATGTATTGCCAGATCTTCCTACCTTCAAGAGAAGTTGGAAGTCCTGCTTTTATGTGAGATCTCCTGATGTGCAACAGTTGGTAACTGTCAGTTCTCAAACAAAATTAGTCAAACATAAATGTAGGTGTGGCCACCTTGGCCCACAGACCACCAGTTTACAATTTCTGGCTGAAGTATCAATGGTTAAGTATACAATACTTATAAGGGAATTTGAGGATGTGAACTAAATACCTGAAGTCTAACAAATACAGTTTCATGTTGCTCAGTTAAATATGCACATGTTCAGTGAACCAATTATATGAGAAGACCCAATTTTCCAGACATCAATATGAGAAGATCTGGGAAATTCAGTCAGCACCAGCATCATGAGTGAGCAATGCACTGCAGTGACCCGGAGAGGTGATGAAATTTTAAGATGCCTTCATGGAAGGTAAGGGATCAGTGTATGGAAGGGAATAATCCCTCTGTACCTCAGGCTTGTCAGGCCCCATCTGCGAGATTACTTTCTGTTATGGGTACCAAGAATTAATGAAGCAACAGACATGTCTATCCGGAAAAGAGGATGCTCAGAGGAAACAGGACCTTGTGGCTGTATGTCAGGATTTTGGCTGCCCCAAATGTGAACTCCTTCTTAGATCTGGGAGATTCTCCGCTTGGTGATAGACAGATATTAATTTTCCCTCTCTGGAGTGGAGACGTAAGTCTGCCTCACAGTCAACATCAGCCCCTTCCCCTGCCCTGTTCTGAGAAGCACAGGGAGCAGGGCACCGGCAGCGACACTGGGTCCCCCCAATTGGAAGTGGGTGGCCAGCAGCCTGATGCCCGCCTGGTGGGAAGAGCAGCCTGCCGCATCTCAGGATGGAGGCCTGAATGCACTGTGAGCTGGGGCTGTAGTCTGCACTGCCTTGCTGGCCTTGCAGTTGATCTAATTTTATTTAAGTGTTTTATTTAATTAGTTTCCTTTTTGTTAAATCAGTCATAGTTAGTTTATGTTGTTTGCAACTGGGAACCTTAACTGATACACATTATTTCTTACCAATCAGAGGCCAACAAAGGCCCCCAGTATGAGACAGTTACCATCACACTGATCAGCACTTGCAGTTGCAGAAGCGTCTAGAACCCCCGCAGGTGTTGCACACATGGTGTTTAGGAAAGGTTTAGGTGGACAGCCCTGAATGCAGTCATTTGGGGCAAGGAGAAATCTGATACAGAGAGGCACACAGTGGAAGTTACTGGTTTAAAAATACCATAGGAGACAACAATGCAAATGGACTTACTGCCGCTGAACTGTGCCCTTAAAAATGTATTTTACATCCAATTTTTTAAAATATTAAAAAACAAAATAGCCTAAGAGTAGGTGCTAAAAAGACATTGATTTCAGTTACATCTGTGGGAACTGATTCAACAATTAGTAGATTGAGCGTCATCTATATACCAGCAAGGTCTGAGCCCTTCCCTTGAAAGGCCGGCATTCAGGAAGGGCAGGAAGGAGCTGTCTGAAGTGAGCACAGTGAGGGTAGACCCAGCACAG